TGACAGCGGTTATTTTACACTCATCCTGTGGATACATGTGTTCTTTTCTAGCATCCTTTTTGGTTTGTTTAAGCAGGACACTTCCAGTGTCAAGCTGTGACAGTCATTCATCAGCACTCGTCCTATACGGTTTCTTTGCGTGCATCCTTTGAGTCGAGAGGCACGTTGTATGTATGGGGTTGCTTGCCCTTCTTCGTGTGACATTCTAATTTTTGCTACCACATTCACTGCTTCCCCTCGCCATGAAACTAACTTTTTTTTTTTTCACATGCATTTTGCAAAATGGGATTCTGTGTGCCTATGCTGCATTACTGCTTCGTCAAGGGCCTTGAAAATGAATTTTTTGAATTCAAGAGTTTTCAAGGATTTCAAGGACCTGTACGAACCACGAGAAAGAATCAATGAAAGATCTTCGAGCCATGCACCACTTCTCTTTCATCGAATCCTGTTCTAAGGCATCATCATGGACCTTTCTTGTTTCATCATCGAGTGACATGACCCCAACAGCAAGAACAAGTCGAGAATGTAGGTATAATTGATTTCGCAATGAAAGGAAAAGAAAGCACTCAGGGTCATGACATGCACTGACAAACAGACATAGCTGCTTGCCTTTCACCCAGTCCCAGATCACCCAGTCCTAGCTTTGAGTGCGCTCACAGGTAAAAAAGGAGAGGAAGCGCATAAGGGGGGACGTGGCACTGTAAGTCGAAAATCGGCCCAAAAATCGCATTTTTTTCTCTCATCATTTTCGCGTACCCGATGCCCTTCCTCACCTATCAGCAAAGTTTGGCTTCAAAATTCCACTTATTTCTCAAGTTATATCCCAAAAAGAGAGCAACTTCGCACAAGAAGACCTGCAGTGTGAACTAGCCATACTTAACCGCCGACGGCACGCGAACTACGCACTCCATCAGTGTCTTTTGGTCTTGTTGGAAAGGTCGCTTTCTAGCTTTTTTTTTTTTCTTTTCAAGTAGACAACTATCTGCCCCTTGCAAAAGCAAAAAAAGCGAAGTCAAAATCACCCACAGCACGTGATTCTATTGGTTGCTTGACACACGTGACCAACATGGCGCTTCTCGATTGGCCAGGAAAACTCGCTGGCAGTGTCCGCCACCATTTTAAAAGGGTATTGCCCTTACGAAGGTGTTGTTACTTGTACCTCTAACGTGCTTGTGCATCTCGCTATGCTCGGCGGTGCAAAAAAGTTCAGATCGCAGCATTATTTTCGCTGTTCACCGAAGAAAGGCAGAACTGCTGCTACTGTGTCGCAAGAGCAAGCGCCGACATTGTTTGATAACGCCGTGGTAGTGCGTGCGCGACGTGGACGCTGGCCGCCCGTGTACTGAAGATGTTATCAAAGAAAAGTTTGCGAAACGGCTTCCCCAGATAGCAGACGCTCTGTGAATTATAACTGCGCCGATGCTATCGCCAACGAAGTGTGCATAGACACAAGCCTCCCTGACAGTGCGCGCTATGTCGACACCGGCCGTGTGCGGGCAGATGCTAATGTAACTAATGCCAGTGAAGTTCGCGATGTGCGCGCCCGCGAGACAACCACGACGCTTGAGGGTCTTTCGTCAGTGTTGGCAACAGCGTGAAAAATTGGGCTCTCTTCGGAGTCAAGTGGTGCAGCAGCGAGGCAAGATGCCAGCAAGGCAAGACTCAGAATTCACACGAAAGCCTCCAATGCGAGATTTGGAGTTTGGTATCAAAAGAGCCCGATTCTCTTTTTCTGTGCATGCTGCTGCTGCAGAAATTGTGCTGTGCTTCAACACGGGCAATGTCAATGCATTTGCTGCTATTCTAGAGCAGCTGGACGTCATGATATTCAGCAGCACATCCTGGGCTAGAGAGAAGGACTGTCGTCAGAGTGCAACCTCAAATAAATAGAGAGAAGCGTCGCAAAGTTAGAGAAAGCTGGTCAGGAAGAAGCATAAGAGTGGGATGCATTCAGATTAAGCCACTGGTTGATTTTATTGATATGTGGGGTTTAACGTCCCAAAACCACTATATGATTATGAGAGACGCCGTAGTGGAGGGCTCCGGAAATTTAGACCACCTGGGTTCTTTAACGTGCACCCAAATCTGAGCACACGGGCCTACAACATTTCCGCCTCCATCGGAAATGCAGCCGCCGCAGCCGGGATTCGAACCCGCGCCCTGCGGGTCAGCAGCCGAGTACCTTAGCCACTAGACCACCGCGGCGGGGCGATTAGGCCACTGGTGCATTTTTATAAATTTTATTAGTAATTTTTGGAATAAAGGTGTCTGAAATTGTTTTTCCTCGTTTTTTCAAAACATCAATTTTGGCACATTTGCCAAGTTTGAGAGAAAATAACTTCTGTTCCAATCGAGCTATCAGCATAATTCTTTTTTTTTTGCCAGAAAGATAAATGCATGCAGTATGCAATATGCCTAAGTTGAAGGCAACATACAGATAAAAAAATTTTTAATTGGGTCACATGCATCACAGGTGAAGGTGGCTTTTTTTTCTCTGAACATTGATGTCCTCTAACTCTTGTTGAAATTGGATCAGCAAATTGATTTATAGCACATTTCACTCCTTAAACATCCTACTTGTGTTTACACTGTCGCCAATGTTTCGTGATTCCTGCTTACATGCTAATTAGGCCGCAAACAAAGGACCCAGCTTCTACATTGATTGGGGAGTATCTTGGAAACTACCTGACCTATCGAAAAAGTAATTACATTTTATAGAATCAGCACATCTAAATAAACAAACTGTGAAAATTTCATTCAGATCTATACATAAACAAAGAAGTTGCCCATCAAGTGTAGCCTTCCTTGTTAAAGCGTACGACGAATTCCTGTAACTTCTTTTGTAGTCCATGTATTACAAAAATTTTTTTGCAGCAATCAATTCGTGAGGCCATTGACTCATTTTAAGGAGCCATTCAATGATTACTTGAACAAGTTGCAGGGCCCCTTTAATGCTGACCACATGACTGCCACAGCACTGGCTAACACAAGATCTACAGAGCTACAGAACATAGCTGTAAGAATGCATTATTGGTGCTTAGAAATGTGCACAATTATCTGTTAGAAGTTAAAGTCGCAGCTACATGCAGCGAAACCACTTTCAGCAGTCACATCAGCCCCTAAAGCAAGAACATTCAAGTTGGCTAAGTTCTTATAGAGAAGACTTTGTAGAATCCTTGCAAAAATATTTCGGTATGAACTGTTCATATGCTGTACAAGTACTACATCACAGCAGCACATAAATGCATGCAAGTGCTTCAATAAACTGCACGGTGTTGTCATTCTGATCGACATGACAGCCAATGCAATAATAATTTTTTGGGTATTACATGGCAAAACTACAACCCAATTATGGGGCATGTCATAGTGGAAAGATCTGCTAATTTCTACCAGCCAGGGTTCTTTACATGTGCACCTAAACCAAACTACGCAGGCCTCTACAAAAAAAAAAAAAAATGAAGTGTCTTTAGTGCCACTGCCAGCAACGAAGGAAGAAAATGCAACTTGCAATGACAAACTTTTTGAATACATGAGAACTGTTTAAAACAGCCTGAAAGTTACCTCAGTGCTTTAGGAGTACTTGCGTGTTCTAGTAAAAATACATGGGTTTTCAGAGTTCAAAGCTTGCTCAAGTTGCTGTAGAGCGTATGACAGCCTATGCTCATAAGAGCACAGGTTCATATCCCTGCAATGCACATGAATGTCTCGCGCACTACAGTACCAGAACGTACTAGTAGATGTAGATGCTTTTTTGCAAATAATAAAAATAATGCAACAAAAAGGAGACAGAAAGAAAGACAAAAAAAGTAAGTGAAGAGGGGGAGGAGGAAGCACAATTAGCTTCCTCCTCCCAAGTCTCTCAAATATGACTAAACTCAGTTTCTCAAGTCAGTAGAACTGCGGCTGATAAACACTTCAGTTAAAATCCTGTCCCCATGGTTTTCCACACAAAAAGTAGAGTGTTTTGTGGTAACTGGCCAAGAAAAATCTCAAGAAGGATATTAAAGGTAGACGGCCAGACAAGATAATCTACACTCATCACTGTTTCGCCTGCCACTGGGTTCCACACATATATCTTCTAAAGCTCCCAGAGATTTGACACTAAAGATGAAATACTTTGCTATTAAACCACTCTCTCTTTAATTAGGTAGCAATGAAGTGTTGTGAAATATTGCCATTACTGCTTGCACACATTTTAGCACAAATACGCGAGTAAATATTGTTTCTTTAGTAAAGCTGGCTAAATATTAGGGATGCATAAACTACGCGAGGGCGCAAATTGTGCGAGTAAATACGTATGCTCTCCCACGAGTAAGGCGCACAGGCTTATGAATTTTCATTTTTCTTTCCTCATGACTTCACCAAAAAAAAAAAAAATGAAAAAAAAAAGAGCATGATGGAAACTGTGACACGAGCCCAAGGAGGTAGCGGCTTCAGAGTAGGTGATCTCATAGATGCTGCAACGCTCTCTTCCATTTTTCCCCATGGTTATAGCACATTATGTTCCTCTAATTTCCATCTAGAGCAGTGAAAACTTCCCGGCGTCAAAATAACATTGATGAGGAAAAACCGGAAAACAGTAGCAGTTGAAATGGTAAGTCAATTACATGGACACATCAAGAAAAGCGTCCCCGCTGAAGTGATACAGTTTATGTCCAGATTCCCTGATAAGGTTAAAATAAAGACTAATAGTGGCGTGCCACAATTATTGCAAGGGGGTGGCGACGTGATCACTTTCAAGACTTTAGCAGTGGCGTGAACAAAAACATGCATCAGTGGTGGCGCAATGCCGCAGTGCACACCTCTACATGCAAATTATTATTAAGAAGCGCACGACACTAGGAAAACAACCATCATATATTTGCATAACAGGAGCAGCCACAAGCGAAAAAGAACAAAAAGTTGAAATTGACTTCAAAAGGGAGGAATAAAAGCCACTGGCATCAGAATAGGACAGCCATATGGAAATGGGGAGAAAAAAGGAGGTAGTGGCTCCAAACCTTCTTTGGCCATGTAGTGCAGACCAGAAGGCCAAGGAGAATTGAACAGTGAGTAAGTGTTGTTGGCAAGTCAGCTCCTGATGTCTGCGCTGTACCAGCTGGGGGCACCATCTGGCAGCCGTTGACCTGCATGGGCAAGGCATCAGATAATTTCGTTGGGCTAAGTTTCTCTTGCATCATTCGGCCTAAAAGTACTGAAACTCTTTCATTTGCTCAGGTAATCAATTCTACTTATATAAAACACCTAAATAATTCATAAAAAAGGCAACTTAATTGTAAGCACAATGTAAAATATATTTTCAAAATAGAGACGATGATTGACTTCAGTGCACCGTACAGCAGACTCCAAAAGTGTCTGTTCTCTTGCCTGTAAAAAACTGCGTCGTAAAAGCTCGACACCATCAGCTGTCAAAAGCCATTCGAAGTAGTGCGTGGCCATGAAAGCAAATCATGGAGTGCTGGTGGGCAGTTTGTGTTAATCAGTTTCCACTAGTGTTGAAGAAACAAGCTGTCTTGTGCGGAATATGGCTACTCAATAGCGATATGCTGCTCGCCCTTAGATGAGAGTGGCACTCTTTTGTCGCTGTCAGATTATTCTAGTGCAGCTTTAAAATACAAGCCTTTTCTTTCATTTTCCAAGTGGGACCGTCAACAAAACATTAAAAAAACGCGCTATTTGTTTTATGAAAGCTGCCAGCATCAAAGCAACTTGCGACTTAAATTTGTGTTTTGAGCATATTTTATTTTTGCCGTGCCATCTGCTGATATCACAAAAAAAATGGAAGGTCAGTTGTGGTGAATTTCTTAATGAAAAAGTCACAGCTTTGCCGCAAAGGCGAAGAAATGAAGGCGATAGCAACAAATTGGAATGTCACGCGAAAAATGAAAAGTCGATCAAAATGTGCTTCGTGCTACTCATGCACAAATGATGCACAAAACGTGCTCACAGGTACATATGAACACGAATAAATGGGGCTCTTCGATTTTCAGGCCTCTGGCGGCTCTCGGGCAGCCAGAGCTAGCCAGAGGGTCAGCCAGCTAGTTCTGGTGGAGACAGAAAACAGCGTCGTGATCACATGTGTGGGGAACCCGAGACAACCCGAAGCTGCCCGAAAATCACAAAATCGAACGCTGGGACAGCCAGCGTAACCGTAAATAAGCTACTTACATCGTGGCAGCTTTACGTCGTGGCAGGTTACGTCGTGGCAGCAAAAGAAACAATGCGCGGCATGCGCCTTGGTTTCTTTCTGCATTGCCAGCTTGAAAATATATAGCTAAGCTCGCCAAAAAGCTGAAATATTATCCTCAAGCATACGTATTTGGGGTACGACTTCGCTTGCCCGATCACTCGCCGAGTCCTCGAACGAAACAGCCAGCTGACGCACGCTGCCTCGAGGAGGATGCAAGGTGAGCTGCCACGACGTTGACGGCTTAAAAATAGCTCACGTCTTCTTAGTGCATGTGACAGTCACTGCACAACACGATGCGAAATAACGCGAAAGTGATCGTGTCCCCAAAAGGACTCGAGGATATATCGTAGTATGCTCAGCTATCGCGTAGTATGCGTCGCAAACACGTGTTGACCAACTTACATTTTTGTCTAAAGTTTAGACATGCGCAGGTATCGGTACCACGAGTGCGCATCGTATATAAAATAAACTTTAGCATGACACGTTTTCGACCCGTCTTGGGACTTGCCTGGGCCTGTTTTCCAGTCCTAAGAGGCACTTTACAAATGTCATGTATATCAGCTTTAATTCGACCAACTTAGTCATAACGAAACCGTACATACTGCGCAGCATAATTACGAAGAGGTGAAAAAAGACAAGCCAACGATGAAATAGGCAACGAAGGCATGTATGCATTTCTGAATCCATTTCTGTTTTTTTTCTTTCTCGCATCGAAGCATATAATACCATACCACATATGCTGGCCCATAGATTGAAGTGCGCCCGCACACCGTTCGCCGCCAGCGAGCATCACACGCTTGAAGACAACAGACGCGATCTATCAGCTTTCTAAAGCTTTCGATCACCATCAAATATCGATCGCGCAGTGAAGTTCTAAAAGGCTCACGCACGCAAACATACGACACAGCGAGCTAGTTCAACCACAACCGTTTTTGCTAAATGCACAGAAAGCAGGCATCAGTTCACCGCGTTGTTCACAGGAGGACGCCTCACGAGAAACATAACAAAAGCGATGAACAGTAGCTTCAAACACTTGCTGCCATTCGTAATCGTCTCATCTTGCACGGCGGAACAGGCTTTAGAAGATAACACCACGTGTAATGACAAGCCAAGGCGCAGTCTTCAAGCCGTCAAGATAAGGTGGCTATGATTTTAGCCGCCCTAGTCAAGCGCCCACATCGCAATCCGTCGAGTCCTCACAAAGATGGCGCCGAGCGCGTATCGTATTTTTTCAGCGTCTGCTAGCCCGAAAACTGCCCAAAAGCTTCCAGAGAGCTTCCACGACTAAATTGTCCTGGAAGCGTCTAGCGACCCTCAGACTCCCCGCGGGTCACCAGAACCATCCAACCTGAGAAAAGCGAACACCAACCGGAAGTGCGCCGCGGGGGTACAGGGCAGCCAGAAAAAAACGAGCGCGCTCTGGCTGGCTCTGGCAGCCTGCGGGTAGCCAGAAGTGGAAAATCGATGAGGTCGAATGTCTCAGTCATTATTTCTCTGTATCTTAAAAGCATGCCCTTTTCGCAAACAGAGACTTTGCAGCGAGTGCAGTGACCTTTGAGTGCCCGGTAACTACAACAGAATCGTTCAAGTGAAACACCAAGGTGTAAGATTCTCCCCACCACGAGATAAGCGCGTGCACATGTGAGCGTCTACCCCCCCTCTCCCGCGGGGCAAAGTACGTGTGGGAGATGAACGCATGAGCACGCATCGCCAGATCGTGACCATCTGGCGACACCCGCTCATTGTGCCATCTCGCTGGTAATGCTGAAAACACGATGATTCCCCGAGATCGGCATCACCAACGGTAAGTGGTAAATATAATAGCTGGCCGTTTCAATGTTGAAGGAGGCGTTCCTCCGTGGCTCAGTGGCTGGTACCACACACTGACAAGCTGGAGGTCGGGCGCTTGATTCCGCACGCCGGAGTCTTTTTCTCGATTATTTTTATTTCTTGCGTTTACATATGTATATAAATACGTACACATATACGGTGAATGACGGCAGACACCGGCCGCAAAATCCAGCCAAGAGTGTGCATATATTTCCTATCGCAATAAAAACAACAAGTGGCTATGATTGACCAGCCACACGGTAATGTAGGAATAAATTGAACATCAAGAATAAAACATTATTTTAAGGTTTTTCAAGATTACTCGTGGCCTTTAGAACCCTAAAAGCAATCTGTAATGAGACGTGTTTATTCTAATATAGCATTTAATGTGGGCGGAGAGGAGTTAAAAGTTTGTACATTTCACAAAAACTGTGCAGTCTTCTTCTCTCATTCTGGAACTGCTACTAGAATGTGATTTAGAGTAAGAGGTTCCATGCATTGTTTGCTCTCCGGTTTTTGTCCTAAAAAAAAGTAATGAGACCCGTGAGTGCCCTCCATATCAGCGACTTAAGGGAGACACGGGTCTTGAAGACCGAAAAATTGCCGAAAAATCTATTTTTTAAAGTATTTTTTAAAAAATATATAGGGCCTGAAGATGGTGTTCCTGAAATGCTATTGCCATGTAATGCGTATTTGTCGAGTAATTCGGTCTCAAAGTCAGTTTCCTGATCATTTTCCCTCACAAAACCGCCTCAAAAGCGGTCATATTCGACGCCGCGTGCCTGAGAACCACACCAAGCAGCACGGCTATTTGGTCTCATTTTAAAGCGGTATTCATCTTTTGTCTGTTCCTAGCAGAAGAACGCTTTTCGTCTAGCAACAACGCAGCTATCGTGAATAAAAAAACACCAAATACTCGCACATCATTGGTGCATTTGTGTCACGTGGGGCAGTTCCCGGTTTCCTATTGGATGTCATGAGATTCGTCTGCTAGACAGCGGTGCACAATCGGCCATTTTGTGACAAGGCCTAAGCAACGCTGTGCGATCGGTGCGATGGCAGGCGGTCATCGAAAGTTGCATACTGCTCATGTGTTCGAAAAGAAGCGAGAACAGTGTCCGAGAGCATGCAGCGTCTTATCAGCAAAACGGTCTGCTGCCGAGAACACGGAAAAAGCTGGCTGTGCCAACGCTATCACGAACGTGGCTCCCGCAATCACATATGCGATAGCCGAGGCCAACGATCACACGCGAGATCTGCGCGTCGGCACTCCCCTTGTTTCTGACGCTGAAAAAGTGGCCCTTGCATGTAGTGTGAGTGGCATTCAATGGGAGCTTTCGTCGACGTCAGCCTCACGACACGAGCAGTATGTTTTTTGAGACTCTGCGACTACTGGAACGCCATCCACCGTCGTAAACTGCTTCAGTGTATGAAGTGCGGTGTGTGGCGGGCCTGGCAGCATTTCCGAGAAAAATCGGGAATATGGAATCACCACGAAGCTTGTGCTGATGTTGATGAGTGCGGGGAACTGAAATTTGTACGGAGCTCGGCGAGAGCAGGGGGAGATGCGGCGCGCGGCCTGTTCGGGATCAACGTGCTCGCGGTTCGCGCGGCACAGCAAACGGACAAACTGCTTTTTTTTTTTTTTCACCCTAAATTTGTCACGGTGATGCAAAGACGTATGAAGATTACGCGAAAGTGGGAATGATTCCTGTTTCATAGAAGGCTGCTACGCACATTGCTGACGACTGCGCAAGCACCGTCAAAACGCAGTATGTCGATCTGAACTATGGAAACATCTGGCATGTAATGAAAAGAAAGCGCTCGAAGAATGATGACTACACTCCAGTGGCTTGTAGCATCATTACTGCACTGATTACATCATTACCTGTTGAATATACATGCTCACCATGTCCCTAAACTTCTTTTCTCGTTTTCTCAAAACAACGTTTTTCATCAAGTCCGAGGCCATTGCCCACAGTATCTTTTGATATAGTGGTTGGATTTTGATAATTATAGCAGCATTTGAAAGCTTATACATCGATGAGTGCAACAAGACCAAAACATTATGATAATTTCATTAAGAACAGTAATTTGATTGGTGAT